ATAAGCAATGCTCTTCTTCCACAAATCTTCACCATTTCTTCTGATATTACTCTCATTGTGTTCCTGAGAGTAAGGAGAGCAAGACACCATAGTTCATTACCACCGGAATTGCCATGGTGGTCGTCGGAAGTTTCATTAGAAAATTTCCTGAGATAGTCATGGTGGTCGTCAGAAGTTTCATTAGAAAATCTCCAAAACCTCCATTTTAGCCCGAAGTAAGCCCTTAGATATATCAAGTGATTAGAATGTTCCTATAGATTGTTTTTACGTTAATAATTGATCATTTGGTTCAGTTTATTGTTTAACATAGTTGACGAACCATGAATAAAAAAACCTTTAAATTGTTGTTAAAACTTTAAATTCATGGTACCAAAATGATCTATGAACTTTGGAGAACATTTCTATATAGTTTATTTGATGTTTGATGGCTTAAAATGAAGTTTATAAAATTGGCCAGATGACACTGTTCAAAACTCTCGCAGACACGGTATCGAGCTACCGCTCAAACAGTACCAAGATACTGCCTAGACGGTAGACAGATACCGCCACAAACCAAACCACACAGGCAGTACCTATCACCAGATGGTACTTAGTAGTTGGTACCATCTGGAACGGTACTGAGGTACCAGTACCATGGTATCGTAAGACGCATCATCTAATCGGGGAATTTTCCCACAAACCTTTATTTTCATTAAATTAAAAATGCATTCCGAGACTTTATGTGTTGCATGACGGTAAGCTAGGGTGTTAACGCTCGACGTTAAGCCGCTATTTGTTACTCCCCATGTTCCACAAAACTCTTCCTCTTTAATTTTTTTTGCTTTCCACAAAACACTTCCACTTTCTATTAAAAAACCACTTTTACCCCTATTTTTTCATACCCTACCTATCACATCATACTTTTTCACTAATAACCAAACTATTACATCTTACTTTTTCCCATCACATCAGGGGCAAAATTGAAAAATCAACCAAAATCACACTTTCTTTATTTTCCCACAAAGTCAAAACCGGAAGGGTTTTGTGGAACGGAGAGAGTATTAAATATTATGATGATTGTTACGTTATTGATTGTTATTTATGACGATTGAACCTTGATTAAAATAATATCTTGTTTTAAATAGTGATCATGAATGATTAAGGCTATCTAGAAAAACTCTAAGATAGACCCCATATGACTTAATTAGTTTGGGCCTTGCGGGTATGATGTCTGGTGGCTTGGATAAAAACGTACGTACGTGATCTACAAACTAAACTAGAGGATAACTCGTTTGGGGATACCACCCACCCGAGTGAGTAGTCCGTTGTTCGATTATTTGAGCATGACCTATAAGACTTGTAGAATAGGTCACGATTTTGTGTTCTGCCTTAGACCAAGACTAATTTAAGAGCTTTGTGATACATATGAATTTGGTCTTAGACTAAGAATGGTTTAAGAGCATTGTTATGATTTGGCCTTAAACTATGAATAGTTTAAGAGCACTGTTGATATTGAATAATTAAAAAGGATATTATGTGCATGATATCAAATGTTTTGATTATGAATTGAGATTCAATTTATGTAGATGTTCAACGCATTAGATATTTTTATTCAGCTTCAACATTGAGCGTGTAGTATGTTTTATTTGCTATACGCAGATAAACTAAATAAAGAATGATATGATTAATCATAGCGGCAGATGGGGACACGAGATGTCAAATGGATGTGTGATGGTCTTGAACTATTCAATAATTATTTCAAAAATGAATTATTGGTTGTGATGTATAACTATTTTTTAAACTTCCACAAATCAAAAAATTCCGTTACTCTTTCTAAATATTTTATGATGATGAAATAAAGTTTTAACAGTTGAAATTTTTTAAATTTTACATTACCAAGTTAATGCTTAAGTCTGAAAGGGGTTACAAACCTGGACAGATTTAGGGTGTTACACACCATGTGTGGATGACTATTTTTGTCTATAGTGCTTTGTTCAAAAAATTGATCAAATATGAGGTCCATAAAAAAGTTCAAAAATAGAGATGTGTGCTTAAAATTTATGTAAAAGAGAAAAAAAATAATGACTACTATGTAGTACACTATAAATTGCTATCTAAGTTGTTAATGGCTAGTTCATGAAAATAGTCTGTTTAAGTAACTAAATGAAATATATAATTTTTAATAACAAATTTTCATTTTTATTTTTTAAAATTTCCCTTAAAATTTTAAAATAGCTTTCTACCTTAATTTTTTTTAAGATTAGTCTTATTTTAGAAAAAAATAGATATAAGAATTAACAAAGATGAGATAGACAACTAAAAGCATAAAAGATAGTGAAATAAACGGCAATCAATAAAAACTAATAAGCAGTGGTAAGAAATATAAACAAAAATTAATCTTTTGAACTTTGAAACTAGAAAGAGGATTTATTTAAAAAAGGAAAAATTTACACAAATACTTCTAGAAATTTGGAATTTTACAATAATACTCCCAAAATCAAATAAAGACACTGATGCTCCAATTAAGTGTTAAGTTTACATCATTACTCCCATTTTGCTTAATCAATTTTTCTAATTATGGTTACATATAATTAATTGATTGTGCTTAATCAATTTATAGTTTACCTCTCTTCCCACAATAGGGGGGTTTGGAGGGACATACAAATTAACACAAATATTATGCTTGCAATTCGGACCCGGACAACTTTCTTTGTTTGATAAAGATGAAGACGCGAAAAACTCCACAGATTTGAAGCAGATCCTTGCTTCCGATGGTTTTTCAATAAAACATCATAAAGAGTTGACATCTTTCCTTATGAGAGAGATTATTTGTGATATGAATAAAAAAGAAAAGTCACTTGTAAAGATTTACCGTTGAACCTTGGGTATGAAGAATGGAGATAGATAAGTTTTGATTGTACTGTACTCCGTATTTTTTTGAACACGCAAATGGTTATTACTCCTTAAAGTAGAAAATACAAATCAAATTTGCCAACTAAGCTCATTTAATGACACCTAAAAGTAAGAAAAGATTGATTAGGCACAATTGGAGTAACCATGTAAACATAAAATTTAATTGGAAGTATAGGAGTCTTTATTTGATTTTGGGAGTATTATTGTAAAATTCTGAATTTCAGATAGTTTTTATATAAATAATTTCCTTTAAAAAATTTGAATTTATTGGACGTCAGTAAACATGATAGTGGGCTCAAAATATTACTCCCTCCGTCCCTAAATAAACTTACCCTTTTGTTTTTTCTTAGTCCCTAAATAAACTTCTCTTTTCCCTTAAATAACTCTTTTACCCCTTACTTTTTTATACCCTACCTTTCACATCATACTTTTTTATTAATAATCTACATATCACATCTTACTTTTACACATCACATCAGGGGTATTTTTGAAAAGTAAACACAAAAATATCTCTTCCTTAAATCATTAAAAAGTCAAAAAGAAAAATTTATTTAGGGACGGAGAGAGTACTATGTATTTTAGAAAATAGACGTTAATGTGTCCGCTCTCCAACAGAAAAGTAAAGAAAAATTGTGAGAGGGTGCATGCCTTTTTGCCTACATAATATTTAAAACTATTTTAATTTTAGAAATAAAATTTGAAAATACAGAAACATTGATACTTATTTTCCAAAGGACCATGCTAGGGTGCCACCACATGGGTGCTATCATGGGTGCAGTCATGCTTCGCACAGACAAACACAGACGATAATTGTCTGTGTCGCACAGACAATTATCGTCTGTGTTTGTGTGTGCGAAGCATGGGTGCACCCATGGTAGCATCCATTTAGTGGCATCCTGGCATTTTCCATTTTCCAAATTACGGGGACACGCTAGAAGAGTGTATTGTACATGAAATTCTATACATTTTAATACTTCTTCCGTTTCTTAAAACACTTCCTCTTTAATTTTTTTTGTTTTTCTTAAAACACTTCCTTTTTCTATTAAAAAACCACTTTTACCCCTACTTTTTCATACCCTACCTATCACATCATACTTTTTCACTAATAACTAAACTATCACATCTTACTTTTACTCATCACATCAGGGGCAAAATTGGAAAGTTAACTAAAATTATACTTTTCTTATTTTTCCCCAAAGTCAAAATAAGAACCGTTTTGAGAAACGGAGGTAGTACTATTTTAATTGGCAATACTCTCTACTACCCCATACTAAAGGTTATGTAGAGTTACACTAAATTATACTAAAAAATAGGGGGTATGTCATTTCCTAATGTAGTAAATAAATCTTTTATTTTTTAAATAGTAATTGAACAATATCTAGTGCGGTGGACATTTTCTTGAACATTGTCCACTGTCGGTGAAAATTTATTTGAACAATATCCAGTGGACATTGAACTATGACACTATATTAAGAAACTAACACATACTCCCTTCCTACATTATTAATTTCTTTCTCATTTTCTCTTTTGAACTGTCCAAAAATTCCTTTCCATTTCTTATTTTGGCAACAAAATTTTAATACACGTTCGGCTATACCCCTATTTTTATCTACAGTGTTCATTTTATTCCATCATATCAGATGCAAAAAACATGAAAAGTCTTATACTCCGTACTTTTTAGCATTTCTTAATTTCTATGTCAAATCAAACCAAGGAAAAAAAATTTGGACGGAGGAAGTGTGATACTACATTTGGAAATTCTCTATATTTTACTCCCTCGATCTTCGTCCTTAAATATTCTTCTGAGTTACTATTCATACGGTAAAACTTTAATTGTTTTTTTAAATCTATTTTTATTAGTTATTTGATAAAATAATATAATCTTGTCACACCAGCTTCTTTGGTAGAACTTTTAATGTATAATTTTTAAATATGTGAATTTTATTTTTTAATTTTATACAAACAATCAAATAAATTAAATTAAAAAATAAAATAGCTCGAAACTCAAAAATAAAAACGAGAAGAACGTTTTAGTACGGAAGTAAATGAGTAATATACTACTCCACATACTGTATATACGAGTAGTAGCAATCTATCAGCTCAACTGCCAGCGAAACCATGGACCCCTACAATTAAATGAACTTTGTCCCTAAGTAAGTGCTTGTCCTTTTTTTTTTGTGGCTCTAATTATCACTGCACAGTGCACACTAATAATAGGAACAGTTCCAAACCCCTCCTATAAATGGGCGCTGCAATTCATCACTCTCCATCATCATCCTACAATACTATACATTCATCACACCAAAAATAAGTTTTGGGGAAAAAAAATATAATTAATGATGAGTTCAAAGTTGTTCATCCTCCTTGGCCTTTGTTTGGCTGTTTCTCTCCTCATTGCTTCCGAGGTCTCGGCCAGGGAATTGGCCGAGACTACGGTACATGCTTCCTCTGACAGTAAGTACATGCATGAACATGTCGTTTATGATACGAGTAATATAAATTTTATTTTTTTTCATTACAAATTCTAATGTTTTTGTGTGTAAAAATTTATTAACTTTAATTTGTTTTAGAAAATTTCCCCTCATATAAGACTAAAAGATAGTACGTTCACCTGAATATAACTAAGTATATTTTATTTTCTTTATGTCACATCATTTTATATGATCCGGCATATATGTCCTCATTAACAAGAAGTATTGGATAATGACTAATTATACGAATGACTCTACGAATATGGTCATTAGCTATACAAATGACTCTACGAATATTGTCATTAGCTATACGAATGACTTTACGAATGTGGTTAATAGCAACAAGTATTAGATAATGACTGATTATTTCAATAACTATCTAATTTTTTTTAAAATAATGTCTAATTCTATTTGTACTATTTAATTGGTCAGTTTGGAACTTTTTATGGCCCTTTGTTTTACCATACGCCATCTATATTATCTCTGTCGTCACGTTTCCCTCTTCATATAGTCGAGAGTTTCCAAATTTGATTTGTCTTAAGTGATGTGGTTCATAATATAAGCATAGTTTATAAATAAAGGTCAATCTACCACCAATTTCAATTTTTGAACTATAATTAAATAAAAATTATATATTCCGTGTAGCGTTGTTTTTGTCCCCAAATTTCCTAATTTGGACCTTTATGAAATTTGAGTTAAAAATAATGTTGTGCTAGACGTTTTAAAAATATCTTTGAAGTAATATAGCTAAAACTAGGATATGATTGATAAGTTATGATAAAAAATAAGAATTAATATGAGTAAAAATAAATAGTGCATTATTTTTGTGTAAGAGTAATGCGTACCGAGTATAAAAATCATTATGCTTTGGTTCAGCAACCGAAGCTGATAAAAGAAATGAGCACATCGACGGATACGGAGGCGGCGGCGGGCACTACGGAGGCGGCGGCGGGCACTACGGAGGCGGCGGCGGGCACTATGGAGGCGGCGGCGGGCACTATGGAGGTGGGGGCGGGCACTATGGAGGCGGTGGCGGAGGAGGACACTGCAGACACGGTTACTGCGGACACGGTTGCTGCGGGTATAAGGGGGAGGCGGCTGATATTGGGGCGGCGGCGGCGGCGGAGCCTTAAATAAATAAAATAGCTATACTATACTGGGATTCGATCGAGAGAGCTTGCTTCCCATGCATGCATGCATGCGTCTTTGTATATGTATTTGTATTTCTTATAACAATTAATTAATCTCTCTCTCTCTCTATGTGTGTGTGGAGGACATGTAACAATAATGGTAATACAGTGGTGTTGGACGTACGTATTGTACGTATCGTACCTCTTTCTCCAATGTATTAATTGATCTTCAATAATACTCCGTAAAAGATTTGCTTGCTTTATTATGCGCTAAATAATATCCCTTATTGGTTTTTATGTTTCTGTTGAATGGTTGATTGAATTGGCTGTTTTGACTTACGGAGTATTGGCTCTTAGCGAAAAATTGTTTGGCAAACATAGATGTTCACAAATAGCTGTCTATGATGTAAATTACATTTTTGGACATATCTCCTGATATTACGAAATAATATTTTATTACAATTAGTTAATTTTTTGGATTTTAATAAAAACAAACTCTTTATTTGAAAATAAATACTGAGCAAATATATTACGTAACAATATACCCAGAGTACCAAAAGAATAATCACTTAGAGCACATCGTTAGAGAAAAGAAAAAACCTCCTAGTTTTGCCAAATTTAAAAAAATAAATACGGAGTAAAAATAAACAAACTTTTTCAGAAATCCAAAACTCAATCTTGAAACTTTTTCCCAAGAAAATCATGCAATGAAGGAAGGTGGCGTTGATGGAGACGGTCCTCTAGAAAATAAGATGTTGGGATGGATGGAGATGGCCGGAGACGCGAAACAATTAACGGAGATGAGTGCGTTAACGTGTGATGGCGTTGAAGGGAAGAAAAATAAATCAATTTTGGATGGGGCAAATATTGAATAAATTAAACATGAATAATTTAGGCTCTTAAATGATATGTAATATATGTCCACATGTTTCTTTCTCATTGCGCCACATGGGAAGGGCTTTTAAATCCCCACTTTAGAAGAGACACCGGAGAAACCGCAAGACCTAGAATAGGAAAAAAAGTAACATCTTTCTATTTTTCCACCGCAAATTTGGAAAATTCTCATATTAAAGAACTAACTCAACATTAAAAAAACTTAAACCAGTTGTTGGAGGCACTTGTTGAGCAATTGCTCTCTCCGTCAGACGAAAAATTTCCACAATGAAACTGATACAATTATTAAGAAATATGAACGAAACTGTATGGTTCAAAGTAGTTCAGAAAAGAGAAAGAATTAAAGATGATCAACCACATATTTGTTTCCTTTCAAAGGAAAAATTGAAACTGTCATCTTGAATATATGAAGAGAGAAATGTGACACAACTTTTTTATGAAATAGAGAAATAATAATTATGTTTTAACATTATTATTATTCCTCGGCGGCATTATTAACTATTATCATTATCACCATATCATGTCAAAAAATCAGTTCAACCAAAAGTTCAAGCTTGTGGTTGTGGCCCAGGAAAAATTATTTATATTCTAACACGCCCCCTCACGTGCAGGCGTAGTCTTTATCGAGCCTTGCACGTGAAACTTTAATTTTTTTAAACTGGGTGGCGCTGGGTCTCGAACTTGCTTGTGACCTCTTAGTTAACAAAGCTCTGATACCATGTCGTCAAGGAACCAATTCAACCAAAAGTTCAAGCTTGTGGATGTGGCCCAGGAAGAGTTATTTATATTCTAACATATCATACATATTATTATTATTATTATCTTTATTCCGAAGTGTTTGTCTATTTTTGACTTTTTATAGTCAAAATTGACAATCTTCAATCATTAATAAATAAACCTGATATGAGACATTGATACAAAAAGTTTTATTAGATTTATTTTGTAAAATAATTTCAAAATATTATTTTAACTCATTAATATTTGATATAATTATTATTTAATTATTGGTCATATGTTGATCTTACATGATTACAAAAAGTCAAAACCGACCAAATATTCTTCGACAAAGAAAGTATATATATAACCTATTATTATTATTATTATTATTATTATTATTACTACTACTACTATTATCATTACTGCTATTATGACTATTACTATACTACTACTATTATTATTATTATTATTATTATTATTATTATTATTATTATTATGGCTCTCTTCTTTTGACAACAACAGTTGTTGTCATAATATTGACCTACGATCTTCTATTTAAGAAATTGATGGTTCCTACAGTCCTACCACCTACCCCTAAACACCCCCTCCGGTTTCCTCCCAAAATATTGATTGGCTACAATAATCGCGTTTTGGGAAGGGGGTGCTAGGGTGGAGGCAGGGATGGCGTCAGGAGATTTAGAGATACAAACCGTTAATTTTATTGATAGAGTTCCATGCGTCTTGTTGTCATATTATGATAACAAGAGTTGTCAATATAAGGGAACTGTTATTATTGTGGTTGTTGTTGTTGTTGTTATTATTATTATTATTATTATTACTATTATTACTATTATTATTATCATTATTTGTTTCTATGTTTTTACTTACCATCTGATGACATAAGATGTTTTTGTTACCACTTATTTTGTAGAATTTTTTTATGTAATTTAAATTCATAAGTTGCATTTTTTATTATCTATATGCTAATTTGTGAAAAATTAAACTCAACAGTATAGAGTTTTACACATTTTTCAAATTGTGTAATCTAATTGAGCCGGAGAGACTATTATATATACAGTTATATTTTTGAGGAAGTATTATTATTATTATTATTATTATATTGGGTATAAGGTATTTATATACTCCCTCCGTCCCCCATAGATCTTCCCATTAGCCCTTTTTATTTGTCCCACATAAATCTTCTAAAAACCTTTTTTTAACATTTAAAATACCACAACTACCCCCATTTACTTTATTTATTACACCTTTTCCACCTTATTTAATACACCCCACCTATTTTCATTAAAGGTATTTTGGTAAACTTTCACCTTTTTTCAACTCTCCTTAAAAATAAAAAAAAGTCAAAACGAGAAGATATTAGGGGGCGGAGGGAGTAATACGTACGGAGAATATATTACTCCCTCCGTCCCTAAATAAACTTCCATTTTTGACTTTTTGAGGATTTAAGTGAGAGATATTTTTGTGTTGACTTTCCAAAAATACCCTTGATGTGATGTGTAAAAATAAGATGTGATATGTAGATTATTAGTAAAAAAAATATGATGTGATAAGTATGGTATTAAAAAGTAAGAGGTAAAAGGGGTTTTTTAAGGGAAAAAAGAGAAATTTATTTATAGACAAAGAAAAAACGAAAGAGAAAATTTATTTAGGGACGGAGGGAGTATTAATTATAAGTGTGATTGTTAGTTATTATTATCTCTTGCAAGTTGCAATAATATATGGGGTCATTGGGACAACGTGAACAGTACAGTCTGGAAATCTCATCAACACAAGTCCCAGCGAAATCATGGATAGCCACACCCTCAACATTTATACAGTAATTTGTACCCCGCAAGTTTGCACTAATATTTTGTGTCGGTGTAAAACTAATTTTTATTAACACACCAACATTGGTGTTCGTGTAAATTTTTATTAACACACTAATACTTGTATCGGTGTGTACAAGTGGAGTATATTTTTTGGTGTAAGTGTAGCATGGTCCTCCAAATTAATCTCTCATTTTAGGAAAATGCTAGGGGTACACTTTTGGTGTACCCCAAACATCCCCACCCTTCCATAACCACACAAAAAGGCAAGTGAAGTTTTAAAAAAAATTAAAAATAAAATTAAAATAAAATGAATAGTAAAGAGTGGGGTGGTGTACATTTGAGGTGTACCCCTATCATCTCCCCTCATTTTATTCATCCATATATCTCTAACGGTCTCGTATGCATGCCACCCTCGAACCCTCCTACTATAAATGGGCGCTGCATTTCATCAACTTTTCTTCACCCTTCAATTCCATATACTATAGTTTTGGACATTATTAATATAAATATGATCAATTCAAAAGTGTTCCTTCTCCTTGCCCTTTCTTTGGCTCTTTCTCTCTTCATTGCTTCCGAGGTCTCGGCCAGGGAACTAGCCGAGACTGTCGCCGATGCTTCATCGGGGTGTAAGAATACGCTCCTCAGTCTTATATTATATATATACATTCCCTATGTTCGTCATAGATCTTCTCATATGTATCGTGGATGTCCTTTGTGATTGTTCGAAAAGATTTTATCATTCGTTTTTTTACATTTCAAATGTTAAAGCTACTATACCCTGACTTATTTTACTCCCTCCGTCCCAAAAAGTCTTTCCTGTTTCATTTTTTGCGCATCCCATAAAACACTTCTAACGACATCTAAAATGCCTAAAATTTACAAAATTTCTTCTTTATTATGGGTAGAAGTTATTTTAAAAATTTTTTTGGCATTCAAGACGGGATAGAAGTGTTTTATAAGATTCGCAAAAAATGAAACATGAAAGACTTTTTGGGACGGAGGGAGTATTTGTTACACCTTACTCATCACCTCATTTAATATACTCCACCCACTTCATTAAGAGTATTTTACTTCACATTATTTCTCAAGCATCTATATAAAATCTAAACATATACTCCCCAAGTCCCAATTTAAATTGCATGTGTCTGTGTGTGATGTTTGACTGAATTAAAATCGCTCAGTATTTGTAAAATTTTCAATTTTTGCAGTCAATCATTTTCAATGCTTGGCGAATAATAATATATATCGTTTATTAATTAGATAAAATAATATTTTAAAAATATTTTATAAAACAAAACTAATAAAATTATTTTTCCAATTCTATCAAGGTCTAATATCAATTTAATTTAGTTGGAGTTCAAATTTTATCAATTTTGACTCGAAAAAGTCAAAATTTAACAGAAACGAAATTAGTATCATATTGATGCAAGAGAGCTAATTAAAAGTATATGTTGTGCAGCAACCGGAGCTGAGAAGGCAAATGATCAGGTAGCGGCGGATCACAGCGAGCACAAAGACGCATATGGTGGGGGAGGATATGGACCGGGGTACCCGGGCGGCGGCGGTGGGTACCCAGGAGGCGGCGGTGGGTACCCAGGAGGCGGCGGTGGGTACCCGGGCGGCGGCGGCAGGTACCCCGGCGGAGGACGTTGCAGATACGGTTGCTGCGGCGGGCGCGGGTACTACGGAGGTTGCCGCCGTTGCTGCGCTTATAAGGGGGAGGCGGTGGATGTGGCTAAGCCTTAAAGCCAACCAAAATTATTGGATAATATTATACTTTCTATGTCACAAATGTTATGTGTGTATTGGTGCTACAATTCTCTTAAGAAGAATGGAGACTCTTATTATGTGTAACAATAATGCAGTGATGTTATACCTATCTTCCCTGCAATGTAATATGATGAATAAAAAAAATTGAAATTGGTTTATTTCACTAGTACACTAGTACTCCCTTCGTCTTATAACCGGTTCGCAAAACGAAGAAAAATCTCAAGTTTTTTCAATTTATTTTATTTAAATATTGGTATAGAAATAAAAAATAAAACATACATATTTAAAAACTACATCAAAAGTTCAACAAAACAAGTGGTGACAAAAATATTTTATTTTATCATATAGGCCATGAAAAAACACAAATAAATATAAATTCCCGTGAAGTTGGAATAGTGCTTTGGGAAGATAATTATAGGACGGAGGGAGTAGTACTTACATTTTCCTAGGAGTATTCCTTGTTCCCCTTTGTCCACATATTTTCTTTATATTTGACTCTTCGCGATTTCCATTGCAACATTTTGACTGTTGATATGTCTATTTATATATAGAAATATCATACTCACTCCGACCCTAAATAAACTTCTCTTTTTGACTTTTTGAGGATTTAAAGGATGGATATTTTTGTGTTGACTTTCCAAAAATACCCTTGATATAATGTATAAAAGTAAGATGTGATATGTGGATTATTAGTAAAAAAAATATGATGTGATAGGTAGGGTATGAAAAAGTAAGGGGTAAAAGGGGTTTTTTAAGAGAAAAGAGAAGTTTATTTGGGGACAAAGAAAAAACGAAAGGGAAAGTTTATTTAGGTACGGAGGGAGTATATAACATGCTTATATGATAATTTTTTCAAAAATTAGTAATCAAAGTTTAAAAAGGCAGGAGGAGTAAAATTTTATATTTCAAAAATAAGATTTAATCAAATGATTAATTATTATTATTATTTTCATTGTACATTTCTTAAATAATATATACCCCTCTTCTCGTTTCTTTTTTCATCTGTCTCAAAAAACTTTTTTCATTTCTATTAAAAAGTTACTTTTATCCCTATTAATTTTTAACTTAGCTACATATCTCATCATATTTATTCACTATTATTCTATCCATTAAGTCGTACTTTAACACATCACATCTAAAGACATTTTTGGAAACTCAACTTCAAAATACACACTCTTTAAATCTCTTAAAAAATCTCTCAGGGAGTATTAATTACGGCGTAATTCAAATGACACACGAGAGGTTAGTCCTGCAATTTTCTATTGAACTTGGGGGTGATTGCGATGAGTTTGAGGGGTGCCCTTTAGGGTCGGAGGGGATTGGATGACCGTCAAAGGAGAGGGGGGGGTAGCCATGGCGATCGTGGGATGGAGCCAAGGTGGTTTTTTGAGGGGGGGGTGGGAGGTTTAGAGGGTAGGACCCGATCTATGTATCAAAAGAAATTAACACCAAAGAGCATTTAAAGGATTTGCTATCACCGGTGTATTTCTACAGAAAATTGTCGTTGGGTACCTTCGATTTTGTAATAAGAACTCACAGGTCTCATTTTTTAAAAAAGAAATATTCTAGAGTACCTTTAATTGTCCGAAAACTAACTCTGGCGGGACATTTCGTCCATCCCTCTGTCAAATTTATCTTCTCCATTATCTTTTCATCTTCTTCCCAAAAAATGTTCTTAGGTACCTCCAATTTTGTAAAAATAACATTCGCATCCAATCATTTTTAAAAATATACTCCGGGGTACCCTAAAATATCCAAAAACTTACTCTAGGGATTCTCCTTTTTCATTTTATTATTATTATTATTATTATTATTATTATTATTATTATTATTATTATTATTATTATTATTATTATTATTATTATTATTATTATTATTATTATTATTATTATTATTAGGGGGTGGGTTAGAGGGGTAGGAACCGTCAATTTTACGAACGGAGCATCGGAGGTGCCCCAAAAACCCAGTGGCACCATTCTCCGGTGTCACTAGAACCGGACCGTAATTAATAACAATAATAGTCATACAATAATAATAATAATCTAAGAATAATACTCCATGCGTCCCAATTTGATTACAAATTGCGGGTTACGGAGTAAAATTTCTTACTTTTTGAAATCATTTTATTTACAAATTGGTATATCAATAAGATATAAAAATTACATATTAAAAAACTACGACAAAAGTTCTACAAAACAAGAGATGCCAGAAATATTTTATTTTATCAAATACTTAATGAAATCGCGTAAACAAACAGAAGTTATCGAGAGGAGAGAGAAAATAAATTGTAATCTATTTAGGGACCGAGGGAGTAATAATACTAATAATAATAATAAAGGAAAAAAAGGAAAATTCCTCCTGAGCAAGTTTTTAGATATTTTAGGATAGCGGGAGTATATTTTTAAAAATGATGGGACCTGGAAGTTATTCTTACAAAATTGAGGGTACCTAACAACAATTTTTGGGAAGAAGATGATGAAAAGATAACGGAGAAAATGAATTTGGCGGAGGGGTAGACGAAATGTCCCCCCCCCCCCTAGAGTTAATTTTCAGATAATTAATGTACCCCGAAGTGTAATTTTAAAAAAGATGGGGCCTTTGAATTCTTATAACAAAACCGAGGATACTCGGCAGCAATTTTCTGGTATTTCTAACATCGCCATTTGAATCGTTCTGTACTCCTTCCGTCTAAATTTATTATCCTACTACGAAAATTTAGACTTGGTTGAATTCATTTTAAATTTAATTTATTTAAATAATGGTACAAGCCAAATTTAAAAATAAAGACGACGAGACAAGAATTGGAAATAAGGGCTGAAGATACAACAAGAGATTTGATTAAATAAAATAGTCCTTCAGTCACAATTTAAATTACATGTTTCGGTTTAGATGTTTGACTGAGATTATTTTCAAATCATTTTATATAAAAAATAGTGTAGAATTAAAAAAATAAAAATTACATACAGAGTACTCCCTGCCTCCTAAATCATCTTCCCAGTTCCCTTTTTTTCGATCATAAAACTATCTTCCCAAATCTAAAAAAGGGCTATGTAATGACCAAAGTACCCCCCATTTACACCAACTTTATCTCTTCTTCTCTGCTCTTCGCCTCCTCCCTCTCTAAACCCTAGATCTATCTATCTATTTCTCTCTCTCTCTCTCTCTCCTTCTCTGCCTCTCTTAGTCTCTCTAACTTCTTCGCCCTCTCTGTCTTTGTAAAATTTTACTCTTCCATAAAACCGTAGATACAATCTTCATCGCCCCACCTACATATGGTTTCTGTAGATTTGAATTCTAAATCCCAAATCTATCAAATTTCTGAGAGCAAGATTCAATTTCAAGGGCTGAGAAGGAAGACGATATCGAAAAAATGGAAGTTTCAGAGTTTGACGGAGAGAGTGAGTCGGATGATGACGAATCTGACTTTGATTCTCTTTGATAGTGAATATGAGGAAAGCTTGATGGAGGACGAGCCCATGCAAGGCTTTGGAAGCGAATCGAATGAAGGGCAGTGCCATGGGGCAGAGGTGGGGCAGGGCAGAGTCCGAGTACCTGATTTTGACATGGGCAGCCACTCCAATGTCGGGTTAGCGGGGATTATGCAATGGACCGCGCTCTATTTTGTGCTTCACTGCTTCAATATTTGAGTGGATTATGCAATACCTTAGTTTTTTTAAAATTTTTTTGAGAATTTTGTATAAAGGGCAAAATGAGAAGTCAAAGGCAAAAACGAAACCCTTAAAATGGCATAAAGTCAACATGGTAAGCTGAATTTAGGACAGAGGTAGTATTTAAAAACTACCTAAGATCTACAAAACCAGTTGTGACATTACTATTATTTTATGAAATGACTACCAAATATAGAGAAAGAAAGTGAATAAAATTTGACCATGTGAATGGTCAACATGCAATTTAATTTGGGACGGGTGGAGTATTAAGCAAATCTAATAAAAAAAATAGTATCAATATCCAATACAAATTTTATTTAATTAGTAATCAAAGTTCATAAATTTTGACTGCAAAAAAGTTAAACCGACTGCAAATACACTTATTTGGTGTCTCTTCAATGTCACTGAATGGCTACAAGATACAGTAATAATTTCAATTATTTCATCAGCTACGTTATATCAAGCAGTAATAAGACTCACGCTACCGTTAAAATCTGGGTTCACCGCACGGATGACACTTGGGAGATAAATATACCGGTTTTTACCATTGCATTAAAATTATGTAACCCCGGGGATAAAATAGTAATTTCACTCCCACAACGTAAAAAGGGTGATGGGAGCAGACCTTCCCATGCTTTTGTTGCCATATGTACATCCCCGGTCTGGTGGTCAGCAATCTAATGGCCGAACGGGAATTCCTTGTCGTTCTCTATTACTTTGAAGGGCTGAGGATGTTGGCCAGAACAATAGAGATTCCACATCTTGAAATAAGCGCGCTCCAGATTCCTCACCCAGCGGGCCGTGTCAAAAAGAGGGCATGTCATCCGCGCAGCCTTTAGCCTATCTGTGAGGGACTGTAGTTTTTTGCGGTCGAGTGCCAGAGAAACTGCCTTCTCTTCATACTCATCCATGCTGCGTTGTGAATGAGAAAACCAAAATCAAACACGCAACTCTATTTCGACAAGTGGGTAAATATAAATGGCATGTTATTTCTACACTACAAGACAGACGTATGTCGCCTAAACCATGTCAATAGAAAGAGTTAATGCTATTAAGACCAATAGTTCCATGCTAGATAGTAGTCCAAGGACTTGTATGTTGATTTATACTCCCTCCGTCCCATAAAACTTCTCAAACTTGAAAAACGGCGCACCCTTAAAATGTAATACCTTCGTCCTAGTGTATTCGTTTAGTTTGACTTTTTCGAGTCAAACTAGACGAATTTTAGACCTCAACCGAATAAAAACTATAATGTATATTTGTATAAAAATAATTTGATTTGATTTTATCTTGTTTAGAACTTTCATTATTTTCTCATTGGTATGAATATGCAATACAAATTGAAAGCAATTGATGATTAAAGTTTGTCCAAAAGTCAAATTGGACGAATACACTGGGATGGAGGGAGTATAATTTTGGTATTATTTTATAATTTGGTCCTTAGTTTATAATAGATGAGTCATAATTAGAAAATTATATCAAAATCACGCTTTTTTAAGGAGCGCCTTTTTTCGACTTTGAAAAGTTTTATGGGACGAAGGAAGCATTTTATATTTGGTCAATTTAGGATGACTCGACAAATATGATAAGAACAACCAGGAGCAGAGAAAAGGGAATCAAACGCACGTGCTGACAATCATCTCGTCCCCTAGTCCACTAGCCAAGCACAGGGAGCCTGCAACTCGTGTTGCCATTTTCTCAAGGGGTAGTGTGACCATTGGTAGCCCGGCCCAAAGAACATCTGTGCCTGTTGTATGTGCATTGCACAATGGCCTGTCCGGTATGTAAGAAAAATAAACAGAGGTTATTACATTAGGTAAGATAAGGGATCTCATATACACAAACGAAATATAAAGGGCGTGGGTGGAATTTCATACGTGTCAAGGAATAAATCTGCCAAGGAACTGCGCCTTATATGCTCCTGCTTCATTGCAACGCAGTGAAAATGATTTGGTCTGGCTGTACACCTTGTGCAGCAGCATCTGTAAAAGCATGTTTCTATTAGTCATTTATTTAACCACACAATCTCCCCTCCTAACGATTCAACTAAGTTTGCAAATCACATACATGCACGGAGCCTCATTTCACCAGCAGCTGGAAATCTGAGAAGCCAAAGTGCACTGTTTGGAACACGCTTGAGAATATTGCACCTGCAACAGACATTTTTTTAATTGGCAAAAAGATGTGTATAAAAAAACAGTAAGCTAATACAAGGACACCTCTGTTAATGATCCATCCCGAATTCCCAAAATTACCACGTCGTAAAAATCTCGGGATCCATCTTGTAGAGCTGGTTGAAACAAGCAAATATAAATTTGTCCTCTGGAAGACCATAATCTGAGCGCTTGGGTTGGCAATTTGGATCAAGCACATCGCAATTTTTCTGGCATTGTAAAAAGACAGCCATGCATGAAGAATATAAGAAGCGATGCCAAGCACATTGAAGATGGAATATGAGGATAAGAAATTTACCTGCTTGTAATCATTCACAAAATAACAATGTGGGAGATGGACAAGCTTCTCAGAGTAAATATGCGAGTATTGTGTAGGAGACACGAACTACCAAAGTCAAAGTGAAACAGAAACATCAAAACTAAAGCATATACAATGTAGTTGCTGAAATCAAAACAAACCTTAGAACAGCATAACAAACAATTAGCCAATAGAAATAGCAAATACCTCATCAGTGACCAAATAATGTATGTAAGTAGCCCCTGTAGTTCCAGGGAAACCCATATACGAAACCTGGATTGGAGCAGGCAACATTGCAAATATCTCATTCCTAGCCCCCTGCAGAGCATCATTTTACGTTGGTCAGGGGTTAATCGTTCAACACCTTTGTATGTGCACGTGTGCAGACTTATGGCAAACCAAGTGAAGAAACAAGTAATTGATATCAGTTATCACCTTTGTATAACCATTAAGATTGATAAGAATCTGTATTTGGTCTTCGTTGATCATCCTTGCAATCATATCAGAAGACATAGAGGATACATTTATGAAATGCTCAGCTTCAGACTCAATGCGCAACCTCCATTCAGTGCCATCATTAGGACTTAAAGCATAACAGAAAACCTACAAATTGAAATGATTTTAGCTCCATATCTTTATGATGAGATAGAGTATTAATCTGCCTTGTCACCACATGAGATAATTTACACACCTCAACACTTCTTTTGTCATGCATTCCAAAGACAGAGCCCATAAGATGTGACAGTGGATGATTTCCGAAGTCACTGCTAACATACCTACAAGGAAAAATGGGAAGCAATACCTGAGTTTTGCCCATCCAAATCCATTCACCACCTAGCGCCCAGATAAGGATACAGGCAGAAACACTGTAATATGCTTATAGAAACATACCCAACCCTCAGACGAGTTTTCCCACTACCTCCTTTAATGGGTTTTGGGGGAGGATGATTGAAAGAAGGAAGCGAAAACCGGGAAGCAATCACAGAGCAATACTGAGCATATTTTTTACTGCATCAGCAACAAAATGAGTTTTATAAATAACTCAAATAACTACTACTTACCAAAGGGGAAAGATATAAATGTTACCTGATATCCAGAGCAAGCATTGAATCAAGAGGATATGCAATTGCATGAAAAGGCTGCACACTTGGTAGAACTGATGTCTATGGGCAAGAATAAAATGCAATTAAAAGTAAAATCAAAAGAAAAATGATTATCAAATGCTTCTAAGAGAACTAATGAAATATTAATCAGGTATTGTAGACACCTTAATCTGCATTCGAAGTATCCCTTCAACTTCAATAAACATCTGCTCGCGATTGTCCCAGTCACAAACACACTATAAAAGAAAAATCAAAATGAAAAACCAATGAAAAAAATAAAAAATGCCAAAGGAAGTCACTATGTAGATAAAACAGACACCTCATCCCCCCACCCACCCCACCCCCACCTCACACACAGAAGAAAAAATAGCATAACTTGAGTTGTGAGACGTTTGTGCTAAGTATATTAATACAAACTCTAGGGTGCACATTAAGATAATCACAGATGGTTTAGTTTTTTTGGTTAACAACTGCAACAAGCTTCTGGAGGTGACCCGCAGACGGCAGATCTAGTGCTCACTGCTCACTTACATAGAAACGATACTTCATTGAAATTTCACAAGAAAAATTATGCATACCTGTAATGCATGAAGTAGATTGCATGTAGTTTCTGGGAAGTCCGACCTTAGCATCAAAGCCTGCCTGTAACTTTTTATGGCTGCTTCGACATTGCCACTGCATGTTCCAAAAAGAAAAGATAAGTCCCAGAAGAAACTCCCTCCATCCCTTATTAAGCTTCACATTTTGGTTTAGGATGTTTGGCCGAAGTTTTTTTCGATTCATTTTAATATTGGTGTAAAATTAAAAATAGAATTTATATGTTTAAAAATTTCATTAAAAGTTCTACTCCCTCCGTTTGAAAAAAAACAATTCCACTTACGCATCCCACAAAACATTTCTACCCCGCCTAAAATGTCTAAAATAAACCCCTTTTCTCCTTTATTGCGAGTAGAAGTTATTTTGGGGGTATTCTAGACAATTTAAGTGGGGTAGAAGTGTTTTGTGAGATGTGCAAAAAATGGAGGTGGAACTGTTTTTTCAAACGGACGGACAAATTATTAAAGTAAATAATCAAAGAAAGAAGATATAGTTTGACGATGTGAATAGTAAAAGTGAATTTTATTTAGGGAGAGGGAGCACTAAAAGTAGTCCCATTTATTTGTCCATACTCCCATGCAGAGAGAGTAACAGTATCCAACACAGCTGAATTTGTATTATCTGATACCTGTCCTTGTAAGCTGAAGCTAAATTTGCATGGGCCTCAGCCATAGTTGGCCTAATGGAAATAGCTTGGAGATAGTCCTGAATTGCTTCGCTAACCCTCCCAAGCTCTTTGTAAGTGTTACCGCGATTCACAAGTCCATCAGCTGCCAGTGGATCAATCCGTAGAACCTCATTATAGCAAGATATAGCATCCGCATAGTTACCCTAAATGTGAAATCAAGCCGAAGTCAATTTCTTGACAAACAACAACATTTTCTTAACAAAAATAGAAGCAAATATTTATTTAAAGGACAAGCTTTCGACATCTAACTACAACTGCATGTCCTTCATCCTATATAGCACATACACCAGATTTCAGGTAAGTGAAGAAGTATGAATTTAATTTTAGGAAGGACGGACATGGAAAATATGAATTTAATTCGAGGATGG